TTATTTATATATATATATATATATATATATATATTATATATAGAGTGATGATATCATTATCTAGTCACGTGTATACTCCATATAGCTAAAGCAGAAATAATTTATACAATCATTACAACAACTTAGCCATCCAAATATCTCAGCTTTGCACTGGCTATATGGTGGTTGTATGTGGTGTTAGCTCACACGAATGTAGAAATGATTCATCACTTCTAATGACTTCAGTAGATTCTGCTTTGATAGCCAGATAGATGGACTTTCTCCAGTTTTATTACAGTATTGTCCTTGTGTGTTTTTTGGTGGGCAGAGAATGTAATGGTGTGTACCAGAGGTTGATGAGGTCTATATCAGGGCTGCATTGCTCTTCGGCTTGTTTTAATGTAACCTGTGTGAGTTCTGTAGTCTCACTCCATGACCGGTTAGCCTCTATTGATCAGTGTGTGTGTGTCTCTCTCTCACTCTCTCTCTCTCTCTCTCTCTCTCTCTCTCAGTACCAAAGTGAAAGCAGGCAAGACACAAAGGACAAAATGGTGAGTCACGGTGAAGCCTGAGTGGGAGTGTAGAGTTGAATGAAGAACAGCACAAGTTTCTGCCTTTTTTTGTTTGCTAAATTCGGCGCTGACTGTAAAGTGTATTTGACATTTTTCTCACCCAATTTAAACCCTTAATGGATTCATTCAAACAAATCTGTTAACCATTTAACACTAACATTGAACAGCTACTAATTTTATTCAGAGTATTTGTATTTGATTACTGGATGTTCCTGTAAGGGCCCTATGAGTGATTTATTGAGAGAGTTAAAGCTATAAATCCTTTTTCTATATTTGAGATGACTGTGACAGGCCCTTGATTGTGTGTTGGTGTCCAGCAGTGCAGCTATGTTTGTCTGGATGTGTATGAAGTGATGGATGTGTCTGTGTCTCTGGCAGGACTCTCTGCTGAGTTGTTTTCTCAGTATTGCTGATCAGGTGCTGTTGCCGTCTCTCTCTCTCATGGAGTGCAACGCCTGCATGTCTGAAGAGCTCTGGGGCTTCTTTAAACTCTTCCCCTACCAGCACAGGTACAGTCAGCTCATAACACAGCACTGATCTCTTAAAGGTGGGGTAAGCGATTTCTGGTAGCCAATGTTGACATTTGAAATCACCAAAACAAACACGCCCCTATTTTGATAGCTCCGCCCCACACATACGTACGCAACCCAGGCAACGATTAGTTCTGTGAAACAAAGCAAAACCAATGTTACCTTTTGTCTACACCGGACACGAGTGGCGCGGCGCGACAAAATACTATAGAACTCTTTATAATCAGTGATGCTGTCTACACCATAGTCGCATGTTCTATTAAAGGGGATAGTTCACCCAAAATGATCATTTACTCCTGTAGGAATTTCTTCTGCTGAAGATATTTTGAAAACTGGCTAACAGGTTCTGGTCCCCATTTGACATTTGAAATCACCAAAACAAACACGCCCCTATTTTGATAGCTCCGCCCCACACATACGTACGCAACCCAGGCAACGATCAGTTCTGTGAAACAAAGCAAAACCAATGTTACCTTGTGCCTACACTGGACACGAGTGGCGCGGCGCGACAAAATACTATAGAACTCTTTATAATCAGTGATGCTGTCTACACCATAGTCGCATGTTCTATTAAAGGGGATAGTTCACCCAAAATGATCATTTACTCCTGTAGGAATTTCTTCTGCTGAAGATATTTTGAAAACTGGCTAACAGGTTCTGGTCCCCATTGAACTTCTATAGTATTTAGAATTTTCTTCATGTTATGGAAGTCATTTAGGGGCAACAACTGTTTTCGGTTACACACATCCTTCAAAATATCTTTTGTGTTCAGCAGAAGAAAGAAATCCAGACAGGTTTGGATCAACTTGCGGGTGAGTGAATGATGACAGAATTTTCATTTTTGGGTGAACTGTCCCTTTAAGTACTGCAGATGTGGGTTTACCAAACAGAACTGCATGCAGGACTCCGGGTTCAGTGTACAAACGTGAAAACCTGGATGCAGTATTTCTGGGCTGGTTTATGTTTGAATAAAGTCAACGGATGCTTTCAGCCCATTGTATCTGTTGGGAACTGTCAAATGTGATTGGGGCTGTTTTATCACGGGAGTCGTTATATCAAATGATTGTTGTGTGCGATCATATACCAGCTGAAGAATATGAGGCTGTTTTTACTGCTGCTGTATATATTGCATGCCTATTCCCTCATGATATTCCCCCGTACACGAATCTAAACGCTGTCAGAATGCCTTGATGAACATGATATACATTTTCATTACCTCACGCGTGGATCTGTGTGTTGTGTAATTAGGTATCGTCTCTATGGGCAGTGGAAGAATGAGACGTATGGCAATCATCCACTCCTGGTGAAGATCAAGGCTCAGACGGTAGACCGAGCCAAATACATCATGAAGTAAGTTTACTTTCTATCTGAATCTAGATCGGCTCTTCTCAAATACTTCAACAAGCCGCTGCAATATACTCCTGTAACTGAGCTTCTCTGGCCTGTAGTCAAGTCACCTTTATTTCTGTAGCGCTTTATACAATACTGATTGTGTCAAAGCAGCTTCACAGTGCCAAACAGGAAAATAGTTCGTCAATAATGCATGAAGTTAGAAGAATTCCTACTGTTTAGTGGATTGTCATGATTAAATCTGAATTCAGTCTTCATTAAAAAAACCCCTCCAAACATCACTTTTGGCTACTGTTGTGTTAAAGCCACAATAGTTAAGACCCTGCTTGCTGTGTCATCACCGGCCACAATATGTAAGAACCTGCTTACTGTGTCATCACCGGTGCATTGCTGCATTTTTCCAATTTTCCAGCCAAAAAAATGTAATTACTACTTTCATTTCTGCAGCTAGAGTATTGATTTGTAGAGTGGAAGAAGTTACTACATTTCTTATTTGGTCAGTTACAAAAAGAATCGACTATCTTGACGATCAAGTTTGTATCGTTTTATCAACTCCTATCATCATAAAACTCCAATACGTCATATCTTCATTGGAAAGTGTGTGTCTCCTCCTCTTTACTGCCGTCTTGTTACCTCTCCAGCTCTCTTAAATAATTTAGGAGCTGAGACCTAGTCTTAACACTTAGGAACCTTTATGAATAACTCTTTTTTTACTTAAGTCTAGGATTAAGAGTAAAATTACGCCGTTCTTAGAATTTTTACATTCTTAAGACTAAAATTTCACCGGTGCATTGCTGCATTTTTCCAATTTTCCAGCCAAAAAAATGTAATTACTACTTTCATTTCTGCAGCTAGAGTATTGATTTGTAGAGTGGAAGAAGTTACTACATTTCTTATTTGGTCAGTTACAAAAAGAATCGACTATCTTGACGATCAAGTTTGTATCGTTTTATCAACTCCTATCATCATAAAACTCCAATACGTCATATCTTCATTGGAAAGTGTGTGTCTCCTCCTCTTTACTGCCGTCTTGTTACCTCTCCAGCTCTCTTAAATAATTTAGGAGCTGAGACCTAGTCTTAACACTTAGGAACCTTTATGAATAACTCTTTTTTACTTAAGTCTAGGATTAAGAGTAAAATTACGCCGTTCTTAGAATTTTTACATTCTTAAGACTAAAATTTTACTCTTGAGTGGCTTTATGCATACGCCCCCATTTTTTTATGCATTTTCTTAACATTATTTCTTATGCTCTAATGCTAAAGCATCCTGCATTAAAAGAACGGTTCTATAGAATCTATCATTTGCTCACACATGCTGCTCTAAATCTAAATTTCTTTACACAATAGAAGAAATGCTGTTCAATCTGTTTGCCACTCATTTCCATACAAAGTAACTGCATGGAGACTCGGACTGTCAAGCTGCAAAATTATGAAAAAGCCCCATAAAATAGTCCGTAATAACTCATGAGCTGTACTTTGAGATTTACAGTGATTTTGTGTGATCCAATAAAAGTTTGTAGTGCATTGAAAATATTGCCCTTCCACTGTCATTATATTAAAAATAGCGTCCATTTCTCCTCGTGTTCTAAAGAAGAAAGTCAGTCATACAGATTTGGAAGGCGAATTTTTGAGTAAACTGTTTGCCTAACAAACATAGGTTAATGTTACCTAGCTAACTTCTAGATCCCCACTGCTGAGGAGATTGCCGAAATCCCTGTTTCTATGGAAACAGCTCTGATTGGTGGGTCTCCTCACGGAATTATGGGTAGTGTAGTTTAATTTCTTCAGATGAGGATTGTTTTAATATGTATTAAATTTAAGGTGTGAAATCACAGATTTCTGTTTTCTAGAGGAAGCATCTGTTTTTATAATTGCAGACAGACCTATCGTGAGTTCTGAGGTTGTTCTGTTGTGTTTTTACCTTTTCAGTCCCTTCACTGACTTCAACCATTGCCCTTAGACAGTGTAGATTTAGGATGTTACATCACCTGAACAGTGCAACTTTAAAGGCAGTTCTCCTGAGTCTGTGTGTGTTCAGTCCCTTGTGCATAGAGATGAGCTCTTTGAAAGGGCTTGCAGAATTGCTGTATCAGATTCTTTGCTTTCTTTTCTAGTGCGCTGAATAAATTATGATATTTTGGCAGATAATTGGATGGAGAGGGAGAGAGCGGAGAATGAGCTGAGGCTAAACATGTCAAAAGTGTTCAGGGAGAGAGAGAGAGAGAGGGAAGCTCAAGGTCGTCTGTCAAATGGGCCGAGTCGAGCCCTCGTATGTGTCAGACTGCTCTCAGCCGTTGTTTGTAGCTGGTGCAAGTAGTTTTGCGTTTTTCAAGTGTTGAATTGAAAAACTCATGAATATGACCAGACTAATGTTAAACTTTACAAGTGACAAATGCGTCCAACATTTCATTCTGCATTTCTTTAAATATAAATATCATTTGATTTTATCCAACATGCTTGTTTCCTTTTTGTCACGCTTATTTTTATGGTTTGCTTTAATTTTTCCTGGTTTGCTATTAATCGTTGTTATAGCCTGAGGCTGCAGAAGTCTGAAAGACAGCACAGAGTGGAACTAGTGTGAAGGAAATAATGTTTGGTCAGATTTAGCAACAAAGCTGTGCCATATTTATCCTAAACATGTTTTTACAAAATGCGAAGCATCTAATATTTGAACATTTGAAGTTTAAATATAAATAAGCTAGGGGTCGACCGATATGTGTTTTTCAGGGCCGATGCCGATACCGATACTGATTATTACAGATCAAGTAGACCGATAACCAATATTTTGAACCGATATATATGTCTGGTGTAAAAATGAAAATTAATGTCAAAATTAAGAATAACAAAGTCTCTGACAAGCTTGGAGAAATGTAAGTATTTGGCTTCAATAATTTACATGTTAGAAATGTATGTGTAATAGCATAACCTCTCATAATTCCTCATTAATTATTTTCTGATGACTAAAACATAATCTACAATAGTAGAGGTGACTATTCAATTCATCTAATGCACAAAGGATTAACTTAAAAAAATGTATATCATAAGTGTAAATAATTTAACAAATGAAACTGTCAAATGCTCATGAAGTGACTCTCAGAGGGAGTCTGAGCAGTTCTGGAGATGTTGTTCATGTATTATGTCCTCATGTAGTGAGGCGACAGAAGCAGAAATCATGAGTTCTGACAGGCTGCATCAGAGCCAAATAGCGCGTTTCAAAATTAAGTTATTTTATCGGCGAATCGGTTTTGATAATGACCGATAATCATAAAAATGCTTGATATCGGCGCCGATAATCGGTCGACCCCTTTAAATAAGATATTAAATCCAAACTAGTACATTTATTATGCACATTTAGATGGTCAAAATTATTTTTTTATTTATATATAAACATTTTAATCTAAATTTAAATAAATAAAAAGCTTAAACTCTTATACACACACATTTAGGTTTAACGAACATTAAATTTAATAATTTATTAATTGAAAATATTTATTAACAGTAAATTTATAAACAAGTTTTTTTTTTTTCGCTATTTGAATGCTTTATTTTAGCTTTAATTAAGCTTTTTTTTTTTTGTCGAGCCAGTTTGCTGCATGCATTATTTTGCATTCAGTGGCTTTACGTGACTGTGTGTGCTGTGAGGCGGCAGGCGGGCTGGCAGACTTTAGCGTGTGTGTGAGCTGTAGGGAGGTGCAGGTGCTGTTCGACTGCAGTGCTGATGCGGAGGATCTGTGAGCGCGGAGGCAGAAACACAGAGTAGCAGCGCTTCATTCAGCGGTGTGACTGGAGGAGGTGAAGAGACATCTGAGAGCTCAGTGCAGTGCATCGAGGGGTTTTTCTCTCTTTCTGAGCATCTTTGCTGTCTGATTGTTACTGATGACGTCACACGTGAATGGAGTCTATACAGGAGATCACACTAATTCACAGATGTGTTTTGACATTTCGGATATCCTGTCTGTTGAATCCCTTAAGATAGAACTGACTTTCAGATTAATTTCATTCATTTAACCAATTCATAAATATGCGTGCAGCCTTATGCCACAAGTGCCCTTCAGAGTGAACACACAAAGCGCAAACAAGCATTTGAAAGCAGCCCTCTGTCTGTGAGTGTCACGTATCTAATATACTATCTAATTGCAATCCAGGCAGCATTAATTATGTCTTTGTAGAGCATTTAGAAGAGAAAGCTTTGATATACTGGTGAAATCGCACGTTGTAGGCACTGTAACATTGAGCAAATGAAGTCTGTGGTTGTCCTTGTAATTTGCTTCAACATTTCCAAACTTAATGTAATATTAGATTCTTGTTCAAGGGTTTTGTGTGTGTAATTGGCAGCAACTATAATATGGCTGTCTCTAGTGCATGAAAGTTCTCAATCAATTCTGAGCTTAGTTTTTACCGCATATTCAGAATCGTTGAAGAGAGAATCTTTTTTTTTCCTCCCACCCCTAACGTCTCTTTCCTGACTTATTTGATTGGTGTGCCAAAAGTGTGTTATATAAAAATGTTAGACACATACTAGTGAGGCGGCTGATGTCCTGTGGTTCATCTGAGCTTTATTAGACTTCTGGGTATCAGAAGATTAGAGCATTAGAGCTTGTTCATTGTGCTCTGAAGGTTAAGCAAACCAATTAGGCCACCTGATGTGACGTAGGGAACGCACAGGGCTCCCTTATTAAGACCAGTGACACCGTCATGGCTCAGCGGGCGGCAGCTCCTGTCGGCTCAACAGCTCGAATGGAAACTTCACAATGCCAGCACTGGCTCTGTGCCCTCTTCCAGTGTGTGTGTGTGTGTTTTTCCCCCAGCTACTTTATCAATTGACTTTTTAATTGGCCCTTTTGTGCCACACTTCAGACAAAGCAGTTCTGCTAGTCTGAGGGAAAACACGGCCCACCGTGCTCACAATCAACGGCGTTATAAAGAACAGCCCGAGAGGCACTGCGCTTCACGTGACAGTCCATCATGCGCCTGCTGACATGTGTGATAAGAAATCAGTGCAGAGGCGTGAAGACTCCTAAAACATGAGCGAGACGGGACGCAGACACCCGTCTGTCGCCTGTCATGGCGTGACTCTTACATAAATTCCAATATTCACAACACTGGGAGGCCATGTTAACAAGTAGCTAACAATGAGTTTTTTTTATTGGATATTTAATATTTAAACCATTTCAACCATTTCCAGCTAAAATAACTGGCACTTAATATTGCTGATATCTAGAACAGTCTTGTCATTGTAATGATCAGTGATGGGAGAAAAAAAAAAGCTTTTCAATTGAAACCATTTCAAAGTGCTCAAATCATCACAGGATGGTGACACCTTCCTCTGCTATTCGCTGTCGCTTAATTATCTAATGCTAAATGTAGACTTTAAATGAGCTGCGCCATGGTCATGTGACTTCAACGTCACTTGAGTTTATTTTAAACTAGTGCTGTCAAATGATTCATCGGGATTAATCGCATCCAAAATAAAACTTTTTGTTTACAAAATATATGTGTGTACTGTGTATATTTATTATGAATATAAATACACAAACATACATGTATATGTTTTAAAATTATTTACATTTATTTACTGTATGTGTGTGTATATATATATATATATATATATATGTATATATATATATATTAATATTTTATATATATATAAAATATTAATATATATATATATACATATATATATATATATATATATATATATATATATATATATATATATATATATATATATATGTATATATATATATATATTAATATTTTAGATATAAATAAAACATATTTTTTCTTAAATATATACACGCATGTGTGTTTATATTAGTGCTGTCAATCGATTAAAAAAATAAGAACTAATTAATCGAATGTACAAACAACATAAAGACAGTATATTTTTAAATATTTGTTTAATGGCATCTTTATTTATGACTGAAGGCCAGTATCAATGATACAAATACTGATTTCTCTATAAAATTGTACCCCCCCCCAATATTTAACCATTGACTATAGGCATTCAACATTACAGTATAATTGAGAACTATCAATTTTAACATTTATTAGACTTTAAAAGATAACTTCCAATTTAAGTGAACCTAAAACAACCTTCACATAAAGCCATTATAATAAATGTCATATATTTACCAGGTAAACTTGATTCTAAATTAAATATAGATGAATCCTTAAAGCTATAAAAGTTATTTTTTCCTCTTTTTTTTTTTC